CCCCAGATGCTGAATCCAGAAGTTCCATCTGATGCAATGAGGAAGTAAGCAGTGACCTGTCCCAGCCCAGCCTGCTAGGGAAGCACAGCTAAATAAAATATGAACATAAGCCTGGTGGGAGGAACAAGTCAGAGAAAGCAAACAGTTTGCTGCCTTTAGCTTGCTGGTAGCTTTCATCAGAGCTGGCTGAGGAGGGGGAGGAGGAGAACTGCCTGTGTGAAGGGAAGGAAGTGACAGCGTAGTCATTAGCAGACTGCGACCCTCTGTCACAGGGGCCCCTGAAATAAACGATGATTGCATTGAAGCATGAGGCTGGATAGAGACCTCTGTGCTAATTTAATAAATTGCTTGCATTTAGGACCCCAGATTGTTGCTGTTACATTTTTGCTATGTGATGCCACCTGGGATTAAGAAGGAGGAGGGGATTGGGGGAGAGGAAGAAAGCAGCCCAGGTCCGTTAGCAACCGCTGGTGTGACCTCACTCCTTGTCCCAGGGGGATATGAGATCATGAGAATGCCAGAGCTCTCTGAAGCATTCGATTTGTTCGGTACAGCAGGATGGCCTGCCGAGTGATCTCATCTCTGAGACCCTAGGGAAGGGCGCTAGCTGCTGCTAGCCTCGTGGACTGTGGAAGACTTAATCCCCACTCCAAATCTCACCAATTAACAATTGACCTGTGATGACATCACTGATGACAAAGCTAACTGGGACAACACAGCAAAATTCCAGGGGAATTTCCCCTTCTCCATGATCTTATCAAATAAAGTAATTTTGACATATCAAAACCAAATCTTTCAGTCCAGATAATGTCACTGCAGATTAAGCATAGTTCTGGGCTCACAGCTTGCCCTGACCTAGTGCCCTGTCACCAGTTCTCCCTTTTAAACAGTGTGGGACAGAACATAAATCAGTCCTCGTTAAGACTGGGGGGCCCTAAATTAGATAGCCTTGTTTAGCCAGCTTAGAATAGACTCATAGAATCATCTAGGTTGGAAAAGACCTTTAAGAACATTAAGTCCAACCATTAACCTAACCCTGCCATCCCACCACTAAACCATGTCCCTAAGCACCTCATCTACCCTTCTTTTAAATACCTCCAGGGATGGGGATTCAACCACCTCCCTGGGCAGCCCATTCCAGAGCCTGACAACCCTTTCTGTGAAGACGTTTTTCCTAATGTCTAGCCTAAACCTGCCCTGAACTTACAGCTTTTGCCCTGGCTTGGAGGTTTTTCCTTTTCCACCC